TGATGATCGATTTGAATATGTATCCCAAATGTAGGAAAAATGAAGCTTTTGGCCCAGCAATGGGCTCTCCTTCCTCCCGATTTAACTGTTTTTTTTAGTTATTCCGAATTATTAGTGGGTCAAAATAGTTGTTTTTTTGGTCCAATTTTACAGGACGTGCTAATTATCCAAGCTTTTGGTAAAACACAGCGAGGTGTGTTGGGCATCAACAGTATATAAATGACGTGTCTGGCACTCATATATACAAATTCTTTTCATGTTGCTTTAAGAAAGTGTACTAGTTTGGGGAACCTATAATACCTCGTTGACGGCTTTTAAGCTGGACTATGCTAGAAATACAGTGAGCCCGCCAAAATATACATTCTGGATTCCCAGTTCTCGTTAGGTTGCTAAATTCACCTACTGATTCGTGGATTCAGCTGTCCGCAATGGTCTCTAGCCCAGACGAGAGAGAAACCGTGGTCAAGATGTTCACTCGGCAGTGAACGTATTTCGTTAAAATTTATTGAAATAGGAGACGGGAGATGCTATACTGAAAAGCTGGCGGCAGTGGATCCCTATCGGCAGAGAAGTGAGCTAGAAAGTGTCGGGAAAATTCAAAGTGACCACGTGCGATTGGCTACTCGTTGCATCTACGTTCTGGAGATTTCTCGTATTTCGTTGTAGGCAGAATTAGAACAAAGTCCTAAACTGTCTATTACTTTAAAAAAACGTACAAAGTGGCATAAAACAGGAAGGTTGAAATTCTTTTATTTTTTTAGTGTGTAAAAGTCTTAAAATGCTTCAGTTTTTTTTGCAAAGCACAATGGACATATTTAACTAAAGTGATTCTCCGGTAGCTTTGCCATGGTAAAGCTTCCACAAGGAGTCCATGCCTATGTAGGCTGCTAGTTCTAGTTGTTTGCATCGAACTATGAACCGTATAAAGCCTTACTAAGCCACCTGCTCAGGAGCTAATTACCAACAGGTCAGGAAAATACGGAAAAATAGCATTTTCTTTATTTCTAAACTTGTTGATTTGAACAATACCTTTTCTACTTACTTTCCGGACCTAGACGCAGAAAAAATTGGAACAGCTTGAAACCTCCTACACTGAGGCATCACAGAAGAAAGATGATCTGGATCATGAACGCATCATTCTTGAACGCCGGCTCGAGGAGACTGAGCTTAACCTGAAGGATTGCCAAGAGTACATTGAGGTGCTCAGTAAGAAAGCTCGAGACGAACGCCGATCTAGAGCACGAGCTGCAATGGAATTGAGTGAAGGAATCGCTCTGGAGCGAGAGACGCTCGTGCGTCAGTTGAACGAACTAAGGTAGATTGTCCACAGGTGGTCTTGATACGTTTTTTATATCCCAATACAGATCTCAGCGAGCTTTTTCAAGACCTAACTCTACCTTGGTAACACTGGCTCCTTGTTTACACATTCCCCTCCCCAATTTTCTTTCTTTTTTGCCTAGACGTTTTTTTAACAGTTTTAGCTGTCTACAGCGTTTAAATTTCAGCTTTATCGATTGCCTCTTGGCCCTGTACAGTGACCTTGCCGGTTTTTATCGATTTTTTCTGTATGAATTCAATTGTGTATTTTCTCTGACGTTCATTCCCGTTGCGCAATGAGAGGTAGCAACTGAAGAGCGCTCTCGAAATCGATGGATCCATTAAATTTTGGTGTTTATACAGTCTTCAAAACTTTATTAATTATCTTCAATTAACTGGTAAAAGACATACGGTTTCAGATGTGGTTAGCCAACCTAGAAAGCCATTTTAAGAAGTAGAAGAAGAGTAGTTGGGACGTGGATAGTCTGACAACTATCCTCTTAAAATGAATAAATGGATGCCCAGCAAAGCACTCAAAAAGTAAAGCAACTTACAGGTTTCTTCAGGCAAGTACCGACTGGTGTCGTCTTCCAAGCTATGTGCTCTAAATGACTGACTAACAGATGGAGTGGAACATAGCGGGCCTATTTTGGGGCCCCAGGTCTTTAAACATGTAAAAACTGTTCGCTTAAATATCGTTGTACCACAACAAG